CGCCATTTTTGTGTTTGGGCGGAGGCCGTTTCTTATGGAAGACATGAGAGATTTGCATGAATTTCGCATGCAACGATTATTTGTTATGATAGCTTGTTTATGGATCCAGCTGAAAGTTTTGAAAGTTGGCATAAAATCTAAAATAGAGATCTGTGTTCTTTTGTCCGTATGTATAGACATACAAACGATCCGTTAAATGCCTTATATTGTTCAGTTTCTTTGATCGATCATTGACTTGGGATGAATAAGTGTATGTGTATATATTTTGAATTTCAAATCCCATCGCCAAATTGATCAATTCAAACCAAATTGTATGGAAATTTACCAATTTATTTATAAATTGAATTTCTCTCAGTCAATTTTTTTTTACTTATGTATAAAAGTGTATTTTCTTTGAAGCTAGCTAATTCATTGAGGTTCGCCCACAATTCTCAGCGGAAAACAATATTCAAATAACCGGAAGTAATTACAAATATTTGTGAACTTCTGTTTGTGTTGGCAAACAATAAACATATGTAATTCCAGCCATATGCTAGAACTTTTTTCCACTAAAAAAATACACCCCTACACAAGAGGCGGATTTTCGTACCTCCTCCCATTATTATATAGTCAATATTTTTCCGCGAAATATGCATCAGGGAATTCTTCATATGACGCACTTATTTTCGAACGATCAGATCCATCTCGCGAATCGCAAAAAAATATGTTATATATATGTGTGTTTGGAAAGCTTTTATCAAATGACACCAGTATAAAGCCATTCTATGCCGCCCCCTGGCTGCTTAAAATATTTTGCGACTTAAAATTGTTTATAATATTGTTTTGTTTACGCAAACCGTTTTGTTATTCTCGCGAGAGGGCGACATTGGCTTTTTTCTCTTATCATTCGGCCATTGTGAATGTGTTTTCCATTTGAGGGAATATCCCACTTGCAGTCCATTTCAGCTGCGTTCTATGTAGATCGGTTCCACCATGTGCCGGGCACCGACAATCCAGAGAACTGGGGCAACTGCAGCAATCCACAGCAATCCACCTACTTATTTTCTGGTTCCGGCGTTAACTTGAAAACGTTTTATTCCTCTGTCATTGATATCACTTTTGTTTCACTCTCTACCATCGCATGTGTGCTACGTGAAAAGCTGAAACAGAAATAGAAAAGACCGCAGTAATTAGCAGAAGAGCATTTGTTGTGGGGCTGGGAAGATGACGTAAATGTTCGCGAAACCCCCACAAAAATAACAAGTTTTTTATTTATTTTCTTGCTTTTTTTTCCCAATTGCACCGTAAATGCGAAGCAATAAAAGAGCATTTCGGTTCTGTCGATTGATGGTTGTGTTCGCGTTTTAATTATGAATTTCCACCAGGTGTTGATAGCTGAAAATCTCTGTGCGTGTGCTTTGGTATATCGCTTTACTAGATTAGGCTTTCTGGGTAATAACTACTTCATGTGAGTCATTCGACATCATAAGAGCCACTTTGGTTATCAATATACTTAATCGGTCTGTGTCCGAGGCTATTTTATCTAAAAGTCTCAACTCGAATTCCACTTGCATTAAGTGCTTTAACTAATATCTTATCTTGCATTGTAAATATAACTTGTTTTTTGTTTATAAAGAAGGCAGGTGACCCTCTAATAAAAGAAAAAGTTAAATGTAATGATTTATTTTGATATATTTTGTATTGAAATTAGGGAAAATATATACTTTTTTTCCAAGAAAGTTCATTGATTCTTGGAAATTACTTTTCTAATCTGAATTGTAAATCAGTTGCTCATCATACAGATTTGTATTTCTGTTATAATGGACAGTAAACCCACAGGCATAAGTAGTTTTCTGCTGCTATTCGATTTTTAGAATTTTGACCTTTTACCTTAGCTTTTTGTGTCCCCATCTTGACACATGTCAAATTTACATATATTTCCTCCCCATATTTCCCAGTTGTATCAGATTGTTCTACTCACAGAAACTCAGCAAACTCGTTGAAAAATTCGCATTTGTTTTTGTTTTAGAAATTTCGAGTAGGAAAGTGCCACAGATAGTCACACAGATCAGATCACATTGGAGGGGTGCGAGTCTACGGTTTCGGAGCAACCCTCTATACAAGTTCCCTTGTCGTGAGTGTCGCTTATCGGGCCTCAAATATTTGCGATAAGAAAACTGATTTTGCATGTTTAATTAGAGAACGCCATTTGGCGAACTCCGTGCTGCTGCTCACGATTACAAGATAATTAATACCCCATTTTTGTTTCCTTACCTTCTTCAATTGCAGAAAGCATGACCATTCCATCGAGACCGGCGCCGGCTCCACCGGGATCACGTGGCCAGAGCGCCGCGGCTGGGGCAAATGCCACCCTGGAGCAGCTGCGTCTCCAGCTGCAGCAGCAGCACATGCAGCAACAGCAGGCCGCCGGCGGTGGTCTCCAGAAGCTGACCATCAAGCTGCCGCCGCCGCCCAAGGGTCCGCTGCAGTCGCAGAACTTGCAGCACAAGCGGACCCCCGCCGCCGCCATGAACAATAATAATAACAACAGCCTTTTCGATGAGCCGATTGGAGGATCGAGCATCACCAGGAAGTTCCCACAGGCACGCTACACGCCGGCCACCAACTGGGACGACGATCCATTTGGGGGCAACGGGAATGATCGCTTCAAGAAGATGCCTCCGCCGCGACCGCCGCCGCCCAAGGTGCTGGTCAATGGGCAGAACATGGCCAAGTCCTCCTCCTCGACGGCATCGGCGGTCGCCGGCGGTAGCAGACTCATCTCGAACATCTTCCACCGCAAAAAGTCCACGTCCACGGCATCCGCCGCTGCTACCAAGGCTGCAGCCGAGAATCGCGTCTACGGCCTGAGCAGCGGCAATGCCGGGACACCAAACCACAGCAGCGGTAGCATTAACAATGCCGCCTCCTCCTCGGCTGCCTTTACCAATGGAGATTGGAATGCCGTCTGGAACTCGGCCACCACCACCACCACATACACCACCTCGAGTAGCAGCCACAGTAGCTCCTCCCACTATGCCTCTCAGCAGACCAGCGATGCCCAGCTCATCAGCTTCGATTCGCCACCGTCGTCGCCCACCTTCACTCAAAAGTCCAACAGCGACTGCGTCAGCGTGGACAGCTTTAGTTCGGACAGCAACTTCAGTTCGCCCAACAATGGCAGCGTTTCCCAGCCAGAGAGCGGATTCGAGGACGATTACCATCGATCGCGACCATCTACACAGAGTCCTCTGGATCCGTGGGAGGCGGTGGACAGCAGCAATGGACACGGCGGCGTCGATAGCTTTGGATCTGCTCCTGTGCGTCAGACCTACCAGTTAGCGGCTCGCACCTCGGACAATCCGCTGTGCAATGGCAAGAGCCTACTGCCACCCACACAGTCGCTTACCATGCCCACCATCATCAAACCGAAGATATCGCAAAAGCCAAAGGCACCAAAGCCGCCACCATTTATTGGGGGCGTACCGCCAGGTTATGTTATGAATGGCGGATATGCAGGATCGGAGACACCACCATCGCCACCGATGCCCAAGGGACCACCGCCGCCGCTGCCTGTTGGCGGAATCTCACTGCTCGACGTAATCAACGGAAAAGTGGACGCTCTGGCGCTGAGCAACGGAAGCCAGGGCTACATGGAGGAGGAGATCGTTCCCTATGCCATTGCGCTCTATGATTTTGATGGCGTTGAGGAGGGTGATCTCAGCTTTAGGGTATGTTTTTTTAAATCTCGATATGCCAAAATCGGTATAATAATGTTTATTTTTGTAGGAGAGCGAGAAAATCTATCTGCTGGACCATCCCACGCCGGAGTGGATGCGCGGACGCACGCGTTCCGGATGTGAGGGAATATTTCCAGTCAACTACGTGGACATCAAAGTGCCATTGGGTGCCACTGGTGGCGGTGGTGCTGCTGCTCCAGCCGCTGCTGCTGCAGCAGCTCCACCCACTCCTTCGCAACAACAGCTGCCCACAGCGATTTGTTTGTATCACTTCCCTGGCGGAGTAGAAGGAGATCTGGCCTTGCAGGTAATAATCCTTTAAGCCACCAACTTTACAATATACTAATCTTGTTGTCTATCCACAGGAGAATGAATTGGTCACAGTGCTTTATAGAATAAACGAGGATTGGCTGTACGGCGAGGTGGGCGGTCGTCAGGGCCAGTTTCCGGCCAATTTTCTGGACCAGGTGCCTGCCAATCTGCCCACGTTGTAACCCGTACACACAGCCCGGAATCTTTAGCGATCTATCTATATATAATGTATACCCGAACATTGTCGATAAGCGAGAAGACGTCAAGCGAACTGAATCATATACACACACATAAATAATTGTATTTTTACTATATTCTTTGCGAAAAATATTAAGAAACGAGCATATAGTCTAAGACAACTAACTTGTAAGAGAATCGAAAAATGTTTTAATGGCAGTAATGAACACATGCGCCCCCTTCAGTTCACCCCGCTTATACACGGGATCGATTTATTGATTTTATGTTTAAACCGCGAATGGAATTGTTTTGTTTACTGAATAATTCAATATTTATGTATTAGAAATTATTTGCTGATCCTTAAAGTATTCGCCCACGCCCCATAAGAACCCAAACCCAAACCAATAGAGCAGGCAAAAATGTTGTAAATAAGTTAAAATGTACGTGATTTCTATTAATGTTTAATTATTTAAATCGAGTTTAGTTAGACGCTTAGTTAGGCACATTTACAGATTCCAATTTATGATGCAAACCGTTTGTTTATGTATGCGTTTAAAGTCTTTCAAGTGCTTAGGGGAGTTCAATGTGAAGATGATTAATTATCTGTCCCAGGAAGAGAGTGCTACCCTCACCATTTGTAGGACTTATCATTTATCAAATATCAGGATATCCTAGCAATGAAGAATGTAAACTGAAATAAATGAAGATGATCACAAAAAAGACAGTTAAAACATATTTTCCTGGTTGGCCGGGTGTTACATTTCAATCTGTTGTGTACGATTTTCAAAGCCGGTTCCATTCGACCATCTCTGCCTATATAGCACACATCGGGAAACTTTTCGTCGTCAAGTGTCCGAGCAAAATTATTCTTTAGTCGTTTTGGAAGTGTTTTGAAGTCCACTCAACCGGTTCTCCCAGCTCTGAGCAAACAAAATTATTTCCTTTGACAATTGCCCAGACTTTCGTTGGTTCCAGAACCGTTTTGATTCACATTTGGCTGAGGGTTTCTGGAAGTTATCGTACCATTCGAAGCCATGTCCGGTGATTGCAACACATATTGCCCCAGTGGCTGCGATCCTTGCCAGGCTCCCACGGACTTCTCGCCATGTCCGCCGGGTTCGACGTGTCCGCCGTGTGATTGCGGCGACTACGCAGGATGTTGCTACCAGCAGCCGCCTCGCACCATGCCCATCCTGCCTAAGTCGCACTTCATGCGATCCACAGCGCCGCTGGACACGGACACCATTTATCGGCGCTCGTTCTACGCCAATTGTGGCGACAATCTGAGGGCTCGTCCGGTGATGCCCTGCTCCCAGATCCGGGCCTCTACGGCGCCGTTGGAAAAGTGCACTATTCAGAAGCTGTCCTACATGCCGCCGTGTCCGGTGAAGCGGACGCCACCCATTATCCCCATGGAGAGCGGTCTGCGCTTTGAGGGTCCCATCTACGCGATGACCTCGCAGAAGCACGACTACGTGCCCAAGGGTATCGTGAAGCGGGATCCCCATTGTGCCGCGGGTGGCTATCTGCACGTCGAATGCGCCCATGGAGCGCTGCACCATCCAGAAGCTAAGCTACATGCCCATCGACGTGTGCCAGAATCCGCCGCCAAAGGCCATGATCCAGGGCTCGCACTACTGTAAGCCGGCCGGTCCGATGGAGCGCTGCACCATCCAGAAGCTGTCCTACATGCCCGTCTGCCTGCCGGCCAAGGAACCCACGCCCTGGGCCGACAAGATCCGCTGTGTGCCGCCACGTTACTCAAACGTTTGCACCACCTACAACCTAAGTTACATGCCCAACTGCAACGAGGCGCGAACGGCTCCAGTGACACCACTGACCACTTTGCGCTTCTGTGGCAATGATTCCGGAGCCGGGAGTACGGTCTACAAGCTTAGCTACATGCCAGTGGATGCCTCCAGGACCAAGCCGGCTCCTGTCCTGCCCAGGGACACTTTTTGCAGGCCCAGTGGACCGCTCGAGAGGTGCACCATTCAAAAGGTAAGTTCTAAATGGGGTTTTTAAACTCAACCAGATTAATATACCTTAATACCTCCTCTCCTTAGCTGTCTTATCAGCCCAACTGCACGGAGCGCACTCCGCCCATCCGACCGATGGAAAATGGACTGCGATTTGATGGGCCCATGTATGCGATGACCACCCAAAAGCACGACTTTGTGGCCAAGCCTCATGTAAGGCGGGCACCCATTATGCCAAGAACCGCCTTCTGCCGTCCCACTGGTGCCATGGAGCGCTGCACGGTGAACAAGCTGTCCTACATGCCTGTGGACGTCACTTGCTTCCCTCGCGCCGAGTCTGTTCGTCCGCGACAGGGCTTCTGCCGCAACGAGGGTCCCATGGAGAAGTGCACCACGTACAAGCTCAGCTACTTGCCAAATTGTGTTCCGCCCAAGGAGCCGCTGCCCTGGGCCAGGTACACATCCTACTGTCGTCCAACCGGTCCCATCGAGAAGTGTACTATCCAGAAACTCAGCTACGGCCCGCCGGGTGCTTTTCAGCGTTGTGGTGGTAAGTTTAAAGCCCATTAAGGCCTTAACTTATCTGAAAAAAAAATCTTATTAAACCCACAGGTCCTTGTGGAACTGGCGGTGGCGATGGTACCTTCCCCAAGGCCGGAATTTGTTAACCTGGAAATACATTTTGATTGCTCTTCAAGTGCCCTGCTCCTACGCTTATCCCCGAGTTCTACGTTTTATGTTACACCAAAATCATCCCGTCCAGGTCTCCAATCAAAAACGTTATGTCCTTGTTTTAAAGGTGATTTCGTTTGCGTAACTGTCCTAATTAACACAACGTTTCCCTTGCTCCTCAGTCCATTTTATCCATTTTGTCAATCTCATATGTACATGTCTACAGAAAATTGCAAGTGCTCCTATGCTTGGCTTACGAATTAAGGTGTATTCCTTGTTGTCAAATTACAGTATGTTCACAGAAATATAGAAATCCAGTAGAACATAGAATAACTAACAGTGTTTAATTGGATTTGTACAACTAAGTCTAGGGGATTTCGTCTCAAACCATTTGGATCTGCAGCCTCCGTTTGCTGGCCTCTCTCCGCTTCTTGTCGCGCTTCTTGCGAGCTTGTGTGGCCTCTCGGAAGAGCTGGACACCATCACGCTGTTCCACCTCGGTTTGGAGCAGTGCCAGCCCATGCAGATTCCAGCCCAAGACATCCCGCAGCTGGCCGACGTCCCGTTTGAGCATCGAGAGGAGCTTGACCAGTAGAGGCTTCATGTTCTTGGCCGCCGAGATGGGTTTCATGTGCACCTTGAACAGGAAGATGGTGACGCGACAAAGCAGCTCCAGTTGATCGGGTCGCTGGGTCAGCAGAGTGGGCAGGCGCTCGAGAACTTCGCACACAGTGGAGAAGGGCAGCAGAAGTAGCGCCTCCTCCAGATCCGAGGCTCGTATCCGCATAAATGTGCCGACCAAGAAGTCCACGGGATTCTTCACCTGCAGCGCCTGCATCAGAGGATGCAATTCAGGCTTATCCTCAGCCTCGAGTTCAAACTGTTTGGATATTTCCAGACATTCGAGAATCGATTCGGCAGATTGCTCGGAACCCACTGTCTTGCGGGAGGGCATCTTGAGACCAGGAAGCAGGGGAACTGTGTTGTCCTCTCCAGTGGCCAATTGCTCGTTCTCCATTTGCTCCCGCTCCTCCTCCTGCACATCCTTCAGCACAATGGTTTCGTCTGTGCGCTCGTACATCCTAAGAGTTCGATCCGAACCGCAGGTGACAAGATATCGGCCGTTTGGAGATACTGACAGACAATACGCTTCGCCTATATGGCCGGGCAAGGTAAGAATCTTCTCGAAGTTGTCACCGTCCCACTGCTTGACCTTGCCGTCCTTGCCGCAGGTAAAGAACATGTGAGTTTTGGGTATAAACTGTACACTCATCACCGAATCGTCGTGGGCAAAGATAGAGCGATGGCAGTCTCCAAAGTTTAAGCCCCACACTTTTACGTTACGATCTGCCGATCCGGTCACGATAAGATTGGAGTCATAGGAGATGTCCAGGCAAAGCACAGGTAACTTGTGGCCATACAGAGAAAGATAGAACTTGAATGTGTCCAGGAAGAAGATCTTGACGGTAGCGTCCAGCAAACCGACAGCCAGGTACTTCATGTCCGGACTGACGCCCACGCAGAGCACGGTCTCCTCCAGCTTCAAAGTGTTTTTGTGCAGCAGGGACAGCACCTTGGTCTGGGCGTCGCCTTCACCGGCATCAATCAGTTCGAAGGTCCAGATCTTTAGTGTGGTATCGCCGCTGCCAGTGACGCATCCTTTCTGATCGGGCAGTATGGCAATGGACCACAGCTCGCTTTCGTGCGCGGGAATCTCCTCCACAATATCAGCCGCTGCTACGTCCACAATGAGAAGCTTGCCGCTCTTCATACCTAGAAGTGCGTAGTGATCGCCGGGAACGAACTTCGAGCAGAGGATGTAATCCGTCGGCACTGTTCGCAGGCACTGCATAGCATCACGATCCCAGAACTTAAAGGATTCTCCTGCGCCCGAGCCAACGGCCAGGGAATCGTTACTGAAGCACACGGATCGCACTTCCGACTGGTGTCCCAATCGGGTAAGGGACCTTAGCAGTTTCACGCTCGGATCGGCTGCCTTGCGTGTCTTGACAGACGCCTCCAGCGAGTACAACACCAGGCTGTTGTTGGCTAAACTGACCAGGACACGCAGTTCCTGGTTCTGGCCCAAGACCACATCGATGGATTTTATCTTTTGCTTCGCTCGGATGCTCTCCAGTCGCTTGATTTCATCGCTCAGCGACTGTTCTGTTGACAACTTGGCCTCTTCTGAGCCGTCCTCCTCGGCGGCCTTTTTCTCTTTCTTTAGCCGCTTAGCCAGACGCTTCTTCACCTCCTCCGGCGTGCAGATGTAAAAGTTCTCGATTAAATCGTTGGTGCCGTGGCAACTAAGCACTCGTTCACTGGGATCGGTCACCAGGTTGACGGTGCGACCCTTTCCAGCCCGCTGGATGGTGCCGCAGTTGCTCACACTGATTGGACTAATGGTGTCCTCGTCCTCAATGGAAAGGCCGTCAACGGCCGACTCCAGGGTCTCGGTGATTGCACCATCGTGTTTCCTCAGGCGATAAACATTCATACCGCTCTCGCCGGCTCCGGCTACCATCAGATCCCCGATAAAGGCTAGGCCCCAGACCTCGGTTCGATTATCGACGATGGTCTTAAAGCAGAACTGCGTCTCTAGGTTCCAGAACTTGATCTGTGTGTCCTTCGAGCAGCTGACCACGATGCTGTCGTCTACAACTCTTTGAAGGAAATGGGCATCTGTGATGGCGGCATTGTGACCGCTCAAACGGGCTCTTCCCGCCTGCTCCACCACATCGACGACGACCAGTTCGGTATCCAGACCTCCGCTGACCAGGCGCATGCCCTGCAGATCGTACCGCAGGATGCTCACCGCGTTCTTGTGCAGCGCCAGCGTGCAGATGGGATCGTAGTACCTGTCGGAGCTGAGATCGAAGATCTGGACCATGCCATCCGCATAGCCCACTGCAATGTGCAGGTGATCTGGCGAGACCCTTAGGCAGGTGACTTCGAACTTCTCACGGCGTAGCGTCAGCTTGCGATCGCCCATTCTGGGGATAATAAATTCTAAATTGTAGTTTTGGGGATGTAAAATAACCATTTATGCAAAACCCACCTTAAGTCCCACACGATCACATTCTCTGCTGCTGGAGCGGCCACATATCGGCCCTCCGTCTTGTCCACAATGGCAAAGTTCACATTGGCACGCCCGGAGGTGATGATATTAAAGCTGTCTATAGCCCGGTAGGCCAAATATTGTTTAGTTAAGCCCATTGCAGCATTAAAAACACAAAAGGTAAATTCAAAACGCGTTTCACGTGTTAAGAGATGGAACTAAATCGATTTATATTTGATACTATCGGTTGTTTGAGAAACAACATTATCGATATTATCCTCATTGGTTGGCAACGCTATTGTCTGGCAACACTGCCTGCTTTCCGTTGGGCGCCTGCGCTTTTGAAACTTGAAATGTTAACAAACCCACCCCAAAACCGATTAAGATAACTCTGATTAGCCAATTCAAGCTGCAGTTTTTGCACAAATAGTTGATAAAGAAAATCTGTAAAATGTCTGCTTATCCCAGTGCTTCCGCCTCCCAGTCCACAGGTATAACGAATAATGAATATTTCACCAACTTTCACTGATAACTGCAATGCCCAAAACCTCTTAGGAACTTCGGACCTGGACACAGAATCCGTGGAGGTTTTGCGGGAGCGGCTCAGCACCATGAAGCGGCTGATGGCCGAGCGGACGTCCCAGCAGCAGAACAACCCGGCGACCACGGAGGAGATATTCTCCACCAAGCGCCATCGATCGGCGGGCATTATTGACGGCAACTTCCTGAGCATCGCCTTTGGCGGGGCTCTGTTGGTCATTATCACGGTTTCGGTGTACGCTTTCTACAATCTCTACCATGCCATACTCAAGAAGTTCCCATCTCGCACGAGGAGCTGTAAACGGTGCCAAAATGTTCGGGGGTTTTCTCCACTTGAAATGTACGAGTTTCTGCATTTAATAATAAATTGTAGCTTGAATTTTAACTACGAAAGTGAAAAGACCTTGGGGGCATCTGCTGTTTTGCATTCGGGTTAATCAACGCCATTTATTGGAGTTCAACTCATACAAAAATCAATATTTTATTTTACTTTTTACATCTTTTACGTTTTCATCATTTGGTTCGAATTACAACTAAGTGGAGAAAACTGAATGCATGGACAGCAAAAACAAAAAGGGCGTTTTGGAATATGATGCTGCTATGAAAAATAATCAAATATAACACAGGTGTACAATAAAAACAAGACATGAGACGAAATGCTGAGAAGGAACACTTTTTGGGGGGATGGAGCGCACAGAATCTTCTGGCAAAAACTCATGGATTTGATTTTGCTTACTCGCTAGCTACAATCGAAACTCTCTAACCTCCTCTCGCTGCCTATTGTTCATTATTTTATTCTTACCCTTTGCCTTAAACATTAGTGTGTTCGCTAAACTCCTATTTATGTGTATGAGTTGTAGATTTCATTAATATTTTGTATATTTTTCTCATATAGTTCGATAGATTTGTTGGGTAAATAATAACTAATATTCATTTGTTTTTCTTTGTTTTTTCTTTTTTAATTCAAATAATATTAGTTTAAGTTTCGCAAAGTTGCATTCCTTGCACAGTGTAACAGTTCTACTATTTGTTTTTCATAATTAGTGGTTTAAGGCGGCCATAAGTCAAACCATTTGAATTTTGGAATCCACTTGAATTTCCAAGTTCAAGAAATTTAAGAGAATATTGAACGTTGAGGGGGCTAAAAATGAACTGATACTATAGTTTTGGTTTCTGTTGATAAATCTCTTTGCTATTTTGCTGTTGCTGCGCCGCTCTGTGGATGTTGGATTGGTTGGTTGTTGCTTGGATCTCGAGGAGGACTCGGGGCTACTTGCTTTCTGCTTTTTACAATTGTTTAAATTCCCTACTATTCTCGAACTGACTCTGCTGCTGCTGGTGCTGCCGAGGCGGACGTTCCAGCCGCTCCCGCCGTCGTCGTCCCTCCCGGCGCCACTTTGTTTCTTGTTAATCAGATGTTGTCAACGGAGTCGGCATCATCCTCCGAGCTGATCTCATCGCCGAACTCGATGTCCTCGTCGAAGCCATCCTCCACGAATGTGACCGTCTCGTTGATGCGCACGGACTCGGGGAACTCGCCGTAGGTCTTCAGATTCCTGGCCTCGTCCGGAGTGTACTTAAGGATCACATCCGCCTTCGAGTCCTGGTAGTCTCGCAATCCCACCAATATGATGTCGCCCTGGTTAATCCACACCTGCAATAGGAAAGGGAAAACATAATCAAACAATGTTATCTAGTTTTTTGTTTTGGGAAAGACCGCATCGAATCGCTTTCTTTGTTTATGAGTAACTCTTTGGGGAAAAAGCAAACTCAATTTTGCAGCTTGTATTCCGTGTAATAGATAAAAGATAACTGATCTATGGCGCACAGCGACTCCATTTCGCGAATTTCACAAAAGAGTGAAACGAATCGCCAAGCTAACTGACCTTGGAAAAAGTGTGGCAAACACAAGAAGGTTCCATTTTATGAGAAAGATATGTGAAATACAGAAATCCATGGTCATTTCTAGGACGATTTCGCAAGAGGAGGGAAAAGAGCTCACGTGAGCTGAGGAGTAATTAAATACCCGTGGATCGCAATCAGTACTTGAAGTAAAACATCAAACATTGATAAATCAAAGATTAAAACGGCTAGCCGACCACAAGGCACTCCACCAAAACGAGTTCACCGTCACATAGAGAAGATAAATTGGCACGCTGAATGAAACGCGTAATAGTGGTTAATTCCACGAAAGACGGAGAATTTTTTTTACCGACGAGATAAGACACTCCAATCACGGGCTAACCGAATTTTGGTACCGATGGTACTGATAAGAAAGTCGTTCTGGAATATAATAACAAGACTCTTGAGCAAACATTTCCTTAATCGGATGCGAATAAACGAGGAGGCCTGACAACTGATTGAGATACCCCCTCATTGTGACGTCAAGCAAAAGATTGGAGAAGTAGGAAGTGCAAATTGCAGTAAAACCTGAGGTACTGATGAGAAAACCCCCTGTAAATGTAATCTTACTCAACTGAAAGAGTCGATGACCTAGGACAAGTTGCACTTGTTGTCAAAGCCCATTCATAAATTCACTTCCCAAAAGCTACTTCCTGCCAGTAGCACTACGCTAGAGGGGGGGCAATATAAATTCCAATGCCACGACTAGATGACACATATATAGAATCTGTTGACCACGTAAGGATCGATAAGCGACGATACCCAGTGGTGGCTTTAAAGTAAATTGAACGGAATCGACGCCCCTGTCGAATAATTCCCGCATTACGTATGTGCTGGAAATAAATAACCATTTTGGGCCCTCTGTGAACTTGGAGCATTTATCATCCATTAAACGGGTGGCGTCGAGTCGCGCTTCCATCCTGCTATCTGTTCCATTACGTTTCCCTACCGTTGTGGAAACCCAACACGATAGATCATGCCCGAAAGAATCGTGACTAAATTGAATCGAAATTGCCATTTTACGATGGGTAGCAGATAAGTATTGGGCACATTCCCCATCCGAGAACCCAACTTTCTGGGAAGCACCCGATTCCTCGACTGATTGCACGGCAGTGTGCCAATGAGTAAGTTAACGAGTGTGTGTGATCCGTCAGAGGTTTGGCATTCGAGGCAGCAGGTCTTTATAGACTATATATAGCTACAGTCATCATTGAACTATGGTTATCAGGCAGTTTGCACTGGTTTGCTCTGTTTGAGACGTAAAATTTTCGTTTCTCCACAGACGGACTTCTGTAAGAAGATACAATCAGTTAAATTAGTACTCTACCTTCAATTTATTATGAGTTTTCAATTTATGAACTCCCATAAGTTTAATCAACGATTATACGTTCATGGGTTTAACCACTTATTCGGCATAATTCTATGTGTCATAAACATTCCTACACTGAAAAAGTAACAAAGTAATCAAATAATACTGGTAATTCCGAAATTAAAATTTCTCAATCGTTAAATTCCAATGAACCCATGAGAATTATCTTCCCACGCTTTCCTTATCTGCGAAACAAGTACGCACTTGTCTTACATAATAAAAGCTAGTGTAGATTAGGACCGATCAGAGAATCATCTCCACGTAGGGCATTCCTGAGCAAGACATACCCTATACTAGAATCTTAGACATGCGATTGGCACTCGCCAAAATTCTGCTATCTCAACTCGACACTGATAACGAACCATATATGGGGGGCAGGTAGCTCGCTCCCGCTTTCTTGACTCCGATAAGAAGCCACCAACCACAATTTGGGGAGGGCGACTCTCTCCAGAGTGGTTCTCCCTATAAATACAACACTCACTCGCCGGCAACGGGCAAATCTAAAATCGGCAGCAAGCAAGAGACACCTGAACGAAAAAAACGAAAGACACGGCAAAATCGGGCCGAATAAAGTGAATTCCATGATAAAGCGAAACGGAATACAAGTGAAGTGCTATCGATACGCCAGAACAAGGGCGAAGAGCTAAAGAAGCCGCGACCGGAATCCCCTAAAGAACCGTCGCGCCTCCACAATCCAAAAGACCGAACCCGAACCGTCAAAATTACTTACTATTACCCTCCGATTTCGTGCGGCGCGTGCAACCAGAGCGAGGACATCATGCTCTTATCCTACCGATGCATCTACTCGGTGCTGCTGTCCACCATAGCCAGTATTATGGTGGTCCTCAGCTCTGCATCCTCCGGCTCCATGCAGCTGCCCACCGTTCGCAAGTGCGGCGGTGGCGTCAGCTCCACGGGAGCAGCCCACACTATGGCCATGAACTTGGCGGCCTACGGGCTGCTGGAGAATCGGATTAGCACTCTGGAAGCACCGCGACAAACGCACTGGAGCAAGAAGTTCCTGGCCAAGCGGGAAGCGACTCCACACTCAGCGCCCTATGTGGTCAGCATCCAGATGATGACGCCGGATCAAGGACTGGTCCACTACTGTGCCGGCACTGTGATCAACGAGCACTGGATCCTGACGGCGGCCCACTGCCTCAGTTCACCGCAGGCGGTGGAAAATTCCGTCATTGTGGCGGGCAGTCACGACATCCACGATCAGAAGGGAGAGGCGACCAACATCCAAATGCGACACATCGACTACTAC